AGTGTGTGTGTGAGTGTGTGTGAGTGTGTGTGAGTGTGTGTGAGTGTGAGTATGTGTGAGAGTGTGTGTGTGAGTGTGTGTGTGTGAGTGTGAGCATGTGTGAGAGTGTGTGTGTGTGTGAGCATGTGTGAGAGTGTGTGTGTGTGTGTGAGCATGTGTGAGAGTGTGTGTGTGAGTGTGTGTGAGTGTGTGTGAGTGTGTGTGTGAGTGTGTGATTTCAGCCATATTGCTGTGTGGTATCACAAACGCCCCATGGGTCAATGTGTGACGTTAAGGACACTCACCTTGGGGAGCTGTCACCAGGCACGGAGCACACACAATGGTCTCATCTTCTGCATCACACTCCTGCCTTGCCCAGTGAACCTCAGTCTTGCTTGAGCAGAGAGCTCCGAGCTTCCACATGAAAGAGGAAAATTTGAATCTTTAGCCTGATGATTAATTTACATCTGAAGTGTCCTCTTATTATATTTGGTAAGGACTGTGGTCAGGATGTCCCTGTTCATTCTGTGCTGTGAGACTGTCTTCTCTTGGACTCCAGAGATTTTCATTAGTGAGGAGAGAGGATCTGGTTTCAGAGGGAAGCTGGAAGCTGGCCAGGGATGATGCCACATTCTGAGCCAGATCCACCTTTCCCTAAGCCTCTTCCCTGGCTCCAGCCCAATCTTCTCCAGCTGCTCAGGCTCCGAGTTCTGCTTTCCCAGGGCTGATCCCAGCATTGCTCTAACCTTCTCTCCTTGTTCCCCATGGTGTGGTTTCCATGCCCAGGAACTTGCCACATCACCACTGTGTTGTGCAGGAGGTCCTGAGTATGAATCCAGGAATCACATAAGGTGGAGGACCAGATAGGAAGCTGACAGCTGTCATCTGGGGAATGGGACACTAAACTCAAAATGTCCATTTTCCATTCCCAAGACTTAGAATGAAGCATGGGGCAGATCTTACTTTTTCTAGTCTCTCGTGGTTCACGTAGGAGGGCACTGGGTCTCAGGATGTTTTTGATTATGGGGCATGTATCTGATAAATACAGGATGAAATAAGAGCCTGAGGGGTATGAGATGAGCACTGGGAAATACAAGTGTGGTAAAATTTGTGTGAACACACATGCTGGGGCTCCTATTGGCTGAGAATCAGGATGTAAAGGATCAAGACGAGGACCCAGGACTGTGATGAGCACCCGTCCCTTGTGGACAACTCAGCCACAGGAGTGGCCCTCACTTGGAACAGAAATGAAGATGTTCCACTCCTCCTCTGCTTCAGTGAGTCAGTGCTCCATCCTGTGCTCTCAGCTTCCACAGCTTCTACCTGTGCGTTGCTCTAAACTCACACAGACAGAAATTAAAACTCAGCTTTGGTCTTGGCACTCAGAGATCAAAGATCTTAGAACTTGAGAACAAAGTATGTTGGAAAACATGAAACAAACATGTGAATGGGCATCAGTCCCACTGGACCACAGTCCTAGCTATTTAGTCACACACCAGTGTAGCTGTGTCTTTGAAGGTGTTATGTGCATGGTGTTAAAATCTCAGCTCTCTTAAGGAAGATTGTCCTCGGCATGTTGATGGTCCTGATGTAGTGCGATTGGGACAGATACGATGGGATTGCTCTGTAAAAGCAGCCTGAGGTCCTGCCTGAGCCTTTCAGATTCGCTGCCTAATGACATAATGCATGCACACACAGGTCCACCCGTACACCAGTTTAGGTCCTATAAGAAGTCACGGTGCACTGCCTCAGCTCTGCCATACTCACAAGGTATGGCAACTCCATGACATATGAGCAGAGGAAGGTAGGTTCCGAATGGACATCGTCACGCTCTTCCCGGAGCTTCCATACAGAGGATCCCGGCAATGCCACTGAGAAGGACCCACTGGCCTTTCCCTGGGTCCCACAGGAGCCAGGTGAGCACACCTGAGCTTCAGATCAAAGACCTGTGACTCAGATTCACCCCAGGAACCACAGACCATGTTTGCTGGGTGCTGGGGAGGCAGTGTAAATAAGAGCTAAAAGAAGGAGCCTGGGCGAGAGAAACAGGATCAGCATATGAAAAGAAAATTTCTTTTTGCAAACAGTCAATTCAGTGGAAGAACGCAAACATCAACCAAAGGACAAAGAAACGGCGTCTTTCCTGGATAGGTGTTTACGACCTGCCTATGGAGATCTGAAGCTCACCTGATGTCACTTCTCACTGTCTCAGTGCCACAGGCTGACCAGGATCAACATGAGAGTGGGGTTAGTGCTGTGTCTCACCTGCATGTTTGTGTGAAGGTCATCAGGTTTCATGGGTCCCCGCCCCGCCCCTGCTTTGGGTTGGTCCATGTAAATCCCAAACTCTACTCCAATCATGGAAACCCACTGAAGTTCTGCCTGAGTCCAGGGAGTACACTCCAGGGACCTGAGTGTCCTCAGGATCTGATTATGTTGCCCATGGCAGAATCCCTTCTTTCCCGTGTGATGCTCTGTCTGTATCTTGTTCAGGGCAGAGTGCATCCTTTCTTTAATAAACCTATAAGGATGGGAAGATGGCTCTGTGGGTAACGCCGCCCCGCCCCTGCTTTGGGTTGGTCCATGTAAATCCCAAACTCTACTCCAATCATGGAAACCCACTGAAGTTCTGCCTGAGTCCAGGGAGTACACTCCAGGGACCTGAGTGTCCTCAGGATCTGATTATGTTGCCCATGGCAGAATCCCTTCTTTCCCGTGTGATGCTCTGTCTGCATCTTGTTCAGGGCAGAGTGCATCCTCTCTTTAATAAACCTATGAGGATGGGAAGATGGCTCTGTGGGTAACATGCTTGCTGCACAAGAAGGATCTGAGTTCATACCTTAGGCATGAAGGCCACAACCCAGGTATGGCAGCCCACCAGTAACCTAGCTCTTGTAAAGGCAGCATGAACTGGGGTCTCTACCAATGCGGTCTAGACTGTTGGTGAGTTCCAGTCTCAGAGAAAGAACTTCTCTCGAAAACGAGGCACAGAATGATAGAGACACCAGATGTCAACATGTGCACCGATTTACACAAACATGTACAAAACCCCCCTAACAATGAATACTCAAACACACACCACAATTAAAAACAGAACTTTAAAAAAATATTTGGACACAACAAAGATTACTACACATCATATCCTGTTGTAGATAAAATCTCTCGGAAATATGTGCTGTGGTGAGGAGACACAGCTCAGGCACATTAGAAGCCAGCACCTTACGACTGTGCACCTGCCTTGATATGACTCTGAGCTCTGTGTGTGCTCAGCGCCCCCTGCTGGTCCTGAGCAACCTGCAGGGAGGTTTGTGTCCGGGCTCACACTGAAGTCCTTGCACTGTGTCTCTTGCACAGTAATACGTGGCCGTGTCCTCAGACCTCAGACTGCTCATTTGCAGGGACACGGTGTTCTTGGAATTGTCTCTGGAGATGGTGAATCGGCCTTTCACAGAGTCTGGGTAGTATTTACCACTTCCATCATAACTTATTCCTGCCACCCACTCCAGCCCCTTCCCTGGAGCCTGGCGGACCCAGCTCATGTAGTAACCACTGAAGGAGAATCCGGAAGCCACACACGAGAGTTTTAGGGACCCTCCAGGCTGCACCAAGCCTCCTCCAGACTCCACCAGCTTCTCCTCACACTGGACACCTGCAAACACAGAGAATTTGGGTCTGGAAACTGTCAGACATACACTGTCCCTTTCACGCATGTTCACTCACACAATATTTCTTCTTCTCCATACATTACCTTGTAAAAGCACAACAAGGAAAAGCCAGCTCAGCCCCAGCTCCATGGTGAGTCTGCTCAGTGCTGGTCACTGAATGGGAACACAAGGAGTGCAGGGCTGGGCTCCTCTGCTGAGCTGCCAGTTCAGGGCTGGGCTGGTTTTCATGAGCAGAGGGAGGCCTTATTTGCATGACTTCTTGCTATGTATAAGGTCTGGGGTTGGAGCCCTGGGAGAAGACAGTGCTCAGAGAAGATTGAGGCCTCAGAGATGCTGATGGCACAGAATTTTAGAGAGTGTGGACACTCAGTATGGAGAAAAACTGAGAACGTTGTCCTCTAAAATCAGGAGCAAGAACAGATAACTCATAGTCTCATATTAAACATAATGTTGGAAGGACAAAGCAGACATCAAGGGTACAAACAAGATAGGAAGAAGCCAAGCTATTCCTACTTGCAATGACACAATTCTGTATTTAAAATACCTGATACGGAATCTACTAGAAATTTCTTAGATTTAGTAAACATTTTTCTGTTTAGTTGTACAAAACAAAAAACTGTGTTTTAAAAGAGATCTGTAGCCTTCCTATATAGGAACAATAAACTTACGGACCAATAAATTAGGAAAAAATATCTCTTTCAAAATGCTCCCAGTATCTAGAAATAAATGTAAACAAACCAGGGAATTACAACCTCAGTGAAAAATTCAGAAGGCTGAAAAATGAAATCAAAGAAAGATATCAGACTGTGAAATGACTTCCATGCTCCTGGACTGGCAGAATAATATTGTGAAAATAGATGTGTGATCAAAATTATTCAACAGACTCAGTGCTGATCACTGATGTGCACACCTGGGAATCCAGGACCAGGCTCCTCCAGAGCTGAAGGGTCTGGGCTGGGCTGGCTTTTATGAGCAGAGGGAGCCCCATTTGCATGTCCTCCTGCTGTGTACAGATCTGAGGCTGGATCCCTGGGAGAACAGTCCTGAGAGAAGACTGAGACCTGAGAGGCACTGGTGACCATTATAGAATTTCAGACTTTATGGTAGCTCAGTATGCACCTTTTGCTTGTTGAGAATTTCCTATAGTGGCTACAGGGATGGCCCAGCAGTTAAAAGCAGGCACTGTTCTTTCAGGAAACTCAAATGTATTTCCCAGCACACTTTACAGGGGTGTCTGTGTGAGATGTCTCACTTCAGGCCTTCACTTGTGGAGAGGCGCTGGCTGTAACAGAAGGTGCAGAGGCAGGGCAAGGACAGAGTGACTTACGTGATGTGTTTATCTTTAATCTGGGATGCCAATGGTTTGGTTATGTCAAGACCTGTCTTTGACCAGGCTTTTCTGTAAAGAAATGGGGAGGAAACACTTAGCTCTGTGGTCACTTTGGGGTACTTCAGTACACTTATTAAATTACAGCTTGGC